GGGCCAGGGGTCCCTGAGGGTGAGCAGGCACCAGAAGAAAGCACGCCGTGAGGTTGCAGAGTGCAGTGGAACAGCTTTCAAAACCACGAAAAACCTCGCAGAAAAAAGGCGGGGATGCAGGGAGAGGGGGCCTCGTGGGCCCTAGGTCCTCACCTCGTCATCCCCTTTGTAGGGCGTAGAACCCCTGCCACCAGCGATGCTGATACCTAGTCCCCCCGTCTGCCGCACGATGGTGAGCGTGAGCTGGAAACAGAACAGGCTGGCTGTCCGAGGGCCGCCTGGGGGCCTGCACGGCGACGGGCACTGACAGAGCAGAGCACAGCCTGGACCGTGCCCAAGGCCCTGCCCCCACCTGTAGATACTGCCTCAAAGCTCCAGGGTCCCCACAGCTGGGAGGCAGGAGACGCCCCAGCACCCCTGCTGACACCGGCTGCCTGCCCCAGGCCCGCACCCATCTCTGTCCGTCTGGGTCAGAGGGCCGGCTGGCCCCAGCACCGGGGAGGTGGGCGGGATCTGCCCAGGCGTGTGGGGGCAGGGGGCTGGGGGAGGGGGGGCAAGAGGCGTGAGAGCTCACAGCCCGGGAAGCAAGGCCAGCAGCCCGGGACACAGAGCACAGAGCAGAGCACAGAGCAGGTACAGACCTCTTCCTCCTCAATGCGTGCGGGCTCTATCAGCAGGTTATTGGCCTGGTCAAACGACACCCCCTGTTAGGACGGGACCAGCGAAGGCATGCAGGTGAGCCCCGACCCTGCCCTGCCACCGCCTTACCCGGCCCCGCAGAGAGCAGAAAAGAGAGGAAAGACCACACCAAGCTCCCGCAGCCCGAGCACCGGCCCGTCTCCCGGGGCACGCGGTCCCCTCCGCTCCAGACGCAGGGCTACCACTGCCACCGCCAAAACAACAAATGGGGCGGGATCAGCGGGTCGGGGGCCCCCAGGGCAGGCTGAGCCTGTGTCTGGCTGTCCCAGAGTACGGCCACCTAGGCCCCTCAGCTGCCACGGCATCACATCCGCTCTCCACGCACAACCTCGACGTCAGATGCACAGAAGTGCTGTGGTGCTGACGTGTCCCCAGGGAGCAGGCAGGACCTTGTGCGGGCCCACGAGAGCCCCCTGAGGGCCAGGGAGAGGACTGGGGCGTGGGTCCACAGTGGGGCCGGCAGGGCCTCGGGACCCAAGTCCGAACCCAGCCCAGGAAGACCTCGCGGTCAGCAGCCCTTGGGGAGGAGCCAAGAGCTACCGTGAGTGCCCCGAGATACCAGTGTGGATGGAGGCCCGCTGAGGAGCAGTGTAGACCCTGCAGGGGCCAGCAGAGCCTGGGTCGACCGGGTATGTGAGCTGAGACCCACCTTGATGGAGGGTGCGGAGACCAGGGCCGCCTCCTCCGCCGCCTCCTTCTCAGCCTCCTCTTCGTCCGGAGGAGCCTCCTCCTCCGCCTCCTCTTCCTCCTCTTCCTTCTCACCTTCCTCTTCGTCCCGAGGAGCCCAGGCTGTGTGGAGGCCGTTGTGCCAGCCCCCAGGCCCTGCTGGGCCCTCCCCGTCCGGCTGTGCTCCCTGCAGCAGGGCCACAACGGCCTCGGGCTGGGGCAGCTTGGAAATCTTGAAGTGCTTCTTATAGTGAGGCGTGTCCTTGCGGATAAGGCGCTGTCTCCCACTGGGCAGGGGCCAGGGCGCCTCCGACTGCCCCTCCTCGCTCTCGCCGTCTTCCCTCGGGGGCAGCAGCAGCGTGTCCTCTGCGAAGCGCACTGTGGGCTGCGTGAAGCCGGGCGTGAGGACGGCGGCGTGGTCTGCACGGGCCCCCTGCCCGGACGCGGCTCCCGGACGCTGGGCAGCACGCCACTGCAGACCTCCGCGGGGCAGAGGCCCGGCCTCACCTCCTCGTAAGTCTCCTCCGCAGGCTCCTCTGGGGTGCCCGGGCCGGCTTCCTGCTGGCTCGGCCCCTGCGTCTCGGTCAGCAGCCCCTCGGGGTCACCCTGGGAGGCCGTGCCATCAGACGGCTGTGAGTCCTTGCTCAGGCCAGACTCGGTGCTCAGCCTCTTCTCCTACGGCAGGGTCAGGCAGCTGGTCGGCCTGGGCGTTCTGCTGCCCCGACTGCAGAGCCCCCGGTGGGCTCACCCCCTGACGGGTAGACGGAGCCTGTCCCAGCCCCCAGGGAAGCCACGCCACCATCAAGATGAACAGACGGTGTGCAAAGCCACAGATCCGTGGCGCAGCCCCTCGGGGGTCTTCCCGCAAGACACAAGATGGGGACCAGGCAGGTTCCAGAAGACCACCAGACTGACAACCGCCAGGCGCCCAGACGTGAGCACGGTTCCGCACATGAGCCACGGCGGCTTCACAGAGCGGGTGGCCCGGCTCCGCGTCCCTCCAGGCTTCAGATACCCTGCTGCACCCGAAGCGTCCCCAAGCTTTCCCCGACCCCAACGCCAGGAACCTCCAAACGAGCACCACCGGGCCCACCTGACTCAGGTCCCCGCGTGCCATGCCAAAGCCGGTCGTGCCCCTTCCGGCTGTGTGAGGACCCGAGGCAGGTCTGACCCGCTCCCCTCGCTCCCCGCCCCTACACCGCCTCTGGTTCCTACCCGGCGCGTCTACACCACACGTCCCCCTGCACTCGCGCCAGCGGCCCTTGTGTGACGGGGCCCTGCTCCGCTGGAGAGCGTGGCGGACTTGGCCCTGGACCCCTGCCCCTCGGGCTCATCTCCTCCCAGCCCCCGCGCCCACCCCTAGGCACCCAAAGCCCTACACCCGTGATGGACAAGACGCCCGGGGCCAGGGTCCCTTCTGTGCCAGGCGGGTTCCCATAGGCACCTCCTCCAAAGGCGAGGGTGGCCCAGACTCGGGCCTGCAGGCCAAGGCTTCGCCCCGACGTTCCTCGACACCCCTCTTCATCACCTTCAGCTCGCTGGGGTGAGGCGTGGCCCGACGTTGCAGGCCCTGCAGTGTGCAGGGGGGTGAGGGGGGGGCAGGGAGGATGCGCCCCCTCCCCCCCCGGGGCGCCCCCACCATACCCGCTTCTCAGCAGCAGCTTCCTCGGCGTCGTCGCCACAAGCGGGGACCTCCAGAAACTGGATGACGCTGACGCGACCGAGCGGGGTGTCGCTCCAGCTCTCCGAAGGGCTCCGCTGCCCCGGCTCATCTGAAGGACGCGGTCATCAAGGGGACGCCCGGCCCTGCCCCTCAGACACAGCCGCCCCGTGGCCCCGTGGCCGGTCACCTACCGAGGCTGGGTGGGGGCTGCTGCGGCAGCAGGTAGCAGGTGAGAACCTTTTCGCCGGTCTGGGCGTCGTCCTCCGTCTGGAACCGGAGCATAGGCTGTGCCTGGTTCTCAGCCAGCCATAGGGCCTTGAGGTTGAGGTGGGTGAGCGCAAACGGCAGACTCCGCAGCCTGGGGGCCGGGGGGGGGGGGCGGGTGGCACGGGAGGTTCAGCGGGGGCCGGCAGGCTCGGCTGGCTCAGCGGGGGCCGGGCAGGGCGAGCGCTCACCGGTTTCCAGCCACGTCCAGCACGTGCAGCTCAGCCGTGTGGGCGAGCTCGGGCGGCAGGGCGGCCAGACGGTTGTCCCTCAAGGAAAGGACACTGAGAGCCACACAGCCTCCGATCTCGGGCGGCAGCACCTCCAGACGGTTGCGGTCCGCGTTGAGATTGGTCAGCTTGGTCAGCTTGCCCAGAGAGCGGGGCAGAGCCTGGTCGGGGCCGAGGGAGGGTCACGGGTCGGTGGGAAACCGCCCCGGTCCCCGGAAGGAGAAGAGGACCTTTCTGCGGGGTTCGGTCTGGCACCGCTCCCTGTCCCCCGCAGGGAACCGCTTCCAGCCATAGCCTCCCATCCAGGCAGACCCCCGGGGCCTGCCACACGGCGCTCCTCTCTCCCCGCCTCAGTGTCCCCGGTCCCACCGGGCCGGGGCCTACCGTCAGCAGGTTCTCCGTGAGGATCAGCTCCGAGAGGTTCTCGCAGTCACCGATGGCCTCCGTCACCTCGCACAGACGGTTCTGGTCCACCTTCAGGATGGACAGCTGTTTCAGCCGACCTGGTATCGGGGAGACACGATGACACCGCTGTGTGGGGCAAGCCCCGCCCGGCAGCCCGTGCGGGGCACAGCTCAGAGCCCTGTCCTGCTGCAGACCCGGCCCCCATCACCCAACCCACCTGCCCTTGCAGCGCTTTGAGCTCCCTGCCCCGGAGCCGAACTGCCAGGCTCCCTCACCCGCTCACCGGGCCCATCCCCACCCCGGCTTAATTCCCCTTCTCGGGGGCGTCTCTCGGAGTCCAGGTAAGTAGAGTCAGAGCCCTCCCCGAAAGGGCCCTCCTCCAGGCCCGGGTTCCCCGCCAGCCACGCCCCCGCAGTGCCCCGGCCGGTGCTGACCGATGCCGTCAGGGAGCCGCTGCAGCAGGTTCTGGGAGAGCAGCAAGTCCGTGAGCAGCAGCAGCCCGCCGAGCTCAGAGGGCAGCTCCTCCAGCCGGTTCTCCGACACGTCCAGGCACACCAGGCGCCGCAGGTTCCCGAGCTCCTGGAGGTGGGCGCAGGGGGTCAGGGAGCAGCTGAGCACGGGCCAGGGGGTGCCGCGCCCTCACTCACCGGGGGCAGTGTGGACAACTGGTTCCGGTCCAGCCACAGCTCTCGAAGATTGGGCAGAGCCCCCAGGGTATCGGGCTGCGAAAACGGACGGGGACAGGACGACAGGGTCAGAGCGAGAACCTGAGGTCCCCGGCCCTGCCTCGCCCGAGACGGCCCCGCCCTCTCCGCACCAGCACTTCCAGCTCATTGCCTCCCAGATCCAGCTGTTCCAGCTTGACCAGGAAGGACAGGGACCTGCGGAACAAACAGCAGGTGTCGCCTCGACTGCACGGCCTAAAGCCCCGAGGGCCTCGGCCCAGGCAGGCACCGGATGAGGACCCGAGCCCACTCACGCAGGCAAAGACTTGAGCAGGTTCTCCCGGAGCTCCAGGGTCACCAGGTTGGCGAGGCTGAAAGAGAGATCGAGGTGGGGCGTGACGGAAACAGAGAGACGGTGGGGATAAGTGGAGAGGCAGGGCTGAGCCGAGTTCCCCTGCCCTGGAGGGCACTCACTTGCCCACGTCCCCGGGCAGCGCCTGCAGGGACACGTCATTCAGGGCCAGGTGAGCCAGGCTGCGCAGCTGAGTGAAGCCTTCCGGGAGCCTGCACCAGAGGAAGGGGACCTCAGGTGTCCAGAACAGGGCTGCGTAACCTCCCGCACCCGCTACTGCCCCCCACCCCTGTCGTGGCCATCACCCACCTAGACAAAGGGTTCCCGCTGAAATCTGCAATCTCCAGGGCCTTGCAGAACTTGATGCTCTCGGGGATCTCCGGAATGTCTGTAGTAGGAGAGGGACCGCCATGGAGAGACACCCATGGTCTCTGAGGACTCCGAGTCCTCCCTGCCTCCCCTAGGCTCCACCCCAGACCTGCCCTGGGCCCCGCACCGTTCCGGGACACGTCCAGCTCCACCAGCTGCATAAAGTTGGCCACCTCGGGGGGCAACCGCTGGATCTCGTTGTCACTCAGGCCCAGCTTCCGCAAGTTCAGCAGACGAAAGAAGGGCTGCGGGCAGGGAGTGGGGTCAGGGGTGTCTGGACTCTAGCAGAGGGCCCCTCCAAGAGCGGACACGAATTCACAGCTCACAGATCCCAAGGGCCCCTGCCTGCTGCAGGCCCCACAGAAACCCAGGGTCCTGCCACATCACCTCAGTCCGCAGCAGGAAAAGGACAGAAAAACGCACACCCCCGTCTCCCTAAGCTTCTAAGTTCCTTTTGGGACCTGGTCCCTTCTCGTCAACTCAGACACGTTCCCTGCCGCTCTCTTTCCAAAGCGTTCCAAGTCTTGGCTGGTGAGTACTCTCACGTCTAGCTGGGTGATTCTCCATTCCTCGCCCTGTGTGCTCCCTTAAGGACTCCACATGCAACCTGAAAGCCCTCTTCCCCCCGTCCAGTGGCGAGTCCTCCAGGGCCCCTGCTGGCTCTGCTGCTGCACCCAACCGACCCGGCCCAGATCTGCGGCAAGGACTGGGCAGTCACGAAGAAAAGTGACAAAATCAGCAAAGTACCCCCAGTACAGCGGTTTCGTGTGCAGGGGGGCCGAAGACTCCTGGAGGTGGTGAGGGACAGAGCCCTCCCACCCAAGCCCAGAACAGGGTCACCACACCCTTTGTGGCACACAGCCCCAAGCACTGGGCCGCTTGGCAAGCGGTCTCCGAAAAGGAAATCCTTTTATGACCTGCTTCCTTTAGTAACCTCTTCTCCAGAGCAGCCTTAGAAGGAAAGCAAGCTGACCGGGACGCACAACTGCAAGGAGAGGTAGACAGG